TTATTAGTCGATTATCGTCATATTTAGCTGGCACTGGTATAGACCCAGTTGCCAATCGGGATCAAGCATTTGGTATTTTTAGAGGGTGTCTATATGGGCGAGCATTAGAATGGTTTGATCGAAAAATTCTTGGTAAACAATGAGAACTTCACAATATTTTTGCAAATCATGGCCAGGCTGGTATAGGTGCTCTTCGGGGATGCACTATGGCACAGATGAATACTAGTAATAGCTTTAGAAATCCTTCCATTGCCCATGACTATGCAAATATTGCTGGTAATAATGCAGTAACCATAGGTGTTTCCATGATTCCAGCTGAAGCTTTTACCAAAGATTGGCGCTTAGCTGGAGGATGTCCATCGGATAGACCTGCCAATGCTGTTAATGCAGGTAATGCTAATCCTATAGTATTTGGTGGTATTCGGATTGGTCAAGCATTATATTGGCTCAGAAATAAATATCCTACATTAATAAGTGAAAAGCGTAATTTAGTTTATGGATCATTAGCTCAAGGAAGTGAATCTATAGGAGAATTTTACTCAAAACTCTTAAAATATGGAAAATGCTTAATCTCGACGAGCAACAGATTAAGGGCCAATTTTTACGAGGTTTGTCTCCAGACTTGGAGGATGATGCAGAACACATTGGTACTGAGCAACCATTAGCTAATCTTTTTGAAATTTTAGAGCGAATTGAAATGCGAAGAGCAGAAAAAAAATTAGGATTGGTTAGTAAAATACCTCAGTCTAGCTATAAATCATTATCTAAATTAATAATACCTGCACAAGAGATGAAAACTCAGCACTTTGTGCCATCTCAACCCGTTTCTTTACAACCAGTTACTTAGCAAATACAATCATTACAGCCAACACAGCTACCTCAATCTTACTATGGGCCACAACCCCAGGAATATATCAAACTATAAAAGATACAAACATGGGTAGATTTTTACAATGGATTTTTGGAGAAGTTCCAGAATTCATTCCTACCCCCAAACCCGATTTGCCTCCAAAACCAGTAATAAAGAAAGTTGAAGTTGACTCTGATGATGAACTAGCTAATCTCACACAAAGGCAATTAAAATTACATGTAGCCAAAGCTGTTAAAAAAGCTGTGAAGTCGCAACACAGATGTTCTAACTGCGGTAGATCTAGACACAATTTCCGAAACTGCTCTCGAAAAAAGAAAAAGAGCAAGTCTAAAAATAAATCCAAAAAGAAAGGTAAGGTTAATATCGCTACTGTAGATTCAAGTTCTGAATCAGATTCGGATTCTAACTCCTCTGATAATAATTCTGATTCTGGCTCTGAATCTGGATCTGATTCTGGAGAATCCTTAGTTGAATCTGAATCTGAAAGTGATGTTAAGGTTCATATTACTAAAGCAAAAAAAAGTAAAGCATAAGAGCAACTCTACAAAATCGCTATCTAAAAAGTCTGGTTCAAAGAAGAGACAGAGTCTTGAATCTCCGATTTAACGTTCTTCACAAAAAATACAAAAGAAATCAGATACGATTATTGACTCACAAATTCGAAAAATTATTCTAGCTATGTTTAATGATCCAGAGGTTATAGAAACAATTAAAAACAATATTAATAA